AGAGAGTGATTGCCAAGAAAATTTTGATTTTGTATTCTTCGATAAGGTCATATTTTAAGAAAAAAATGCATTCAGGTTAAAGTATATTTAGATTTAAACTATTCCCACAGAAGGTTTCTCATTTCCAGGAGGATGGAGAATGAATTGACGGAGAATCCGTTTCGTCCGCAAGAAACTTTGTTTCATGAAGTTGACCCGATCGTTGAGGCATATAAACGAAAGCCTTATCCACCATCGTTACCGGGCTCACAGAATACAACACCAGTGAAAACTGCCAATCAAGCATATTTAAATGGTAAGTTTAATTCCTACAACAAATTATTTTTTGACGTTTTAACTCATACCAGTGATGTGATTCGCGCTTTTGAGAAACAGATCTTGGTTTTCGTAGTACTGTTTGACTAGAATAAATTGACTCCATTTTCTTCTTTCTGTATGCTTTCTGCTTTTCCAAAGTCATTTAAATGTTCATTTTCTATCACTAGTACCACTAACCAGTTGTCAGTAAGGTGAGCAACATCTGATAGCTTCAGTTTTTGTTGTTACATTCTGTCCAGAATTCACTGTATAAGAAACTCATCGGTTGTAGGTATCTCACCAACAGCACTGATTGCTGATAAGGAACTGGAAAAACCGATGATAGCAGATTCAGCAGCGCTCACCTCATCAACACCGTTGATGAGCAACGATGATCGGCCTTTGGAGGATGGTGGTGACGATTTGCCGAAAGCGCGACACGTCGAATGTGTACGCATCGAAAAGAAAAAGTGCGGTTGTTGCTCTGTACAGTAGGCTTATTATCATTATCATTATTATCATTATCGTTTTTATGAGCAATTTATTGAGAACTCATCACTTCTCGGTTCAATTCAGACTGCCTCCCCCAGAAACAGTCTAATTCCCCCATGCCAAAGAAAAGTACACAAAATTCAACCCGGTTTAGTTGCTTAGTTTTTAGAAATGGAAGTGTCGTTTTTAACGATAATGTAGCTAGCTGCATGTCGAGCACAACTAGACTAGATTTTTTTTTT